TATTTTTCCCCATGGTCTCACCTTTCCTCCAGTTTCTATTTATATTGATCCACAGGTCCAGCAGCTATTTCAAGATAGAGCCGAAGCTCAAAGAACACAATCTGCTCCATCTGCTGAAGCCACACCTGCTGCTCAACCTGCACAAACTCCATCTTCAAGGAAAAGAGGAAGGCCACGTTCTAAGATTGAACCCATTCTTGAAGAGATTGAGGAGACTGATGAGGAGGACAAAATCCTCACCCCTTCTACTTCGGAGGAATCTGAAAAATCTGAGTCTGAGGACTCAGATTATATGGAGGATTAGGCCAGAACCTCTTCTGGCCCCAGGTTATCTTACCCTTATTTGCCATATTTTTTGGTACCTGGTTGGCAGTACAACAGTGAGGACACTGTTCATTTTAAGTTTGGGGGTGAAATAGGAAATTGTTTCAATTACTGTGATGCTGACTTGTTTTATTTATTATTAAGTTTTTTTTTTCTCTGTGTCATTTTGCTGTTGTTAGAATTATAGGATGTCTTCTTGTTTTGAGTTAGGTAGAGATTATTTGTTGTTTTGGTTAGGAGTTGTTTGTTGTTTTGGTGAAAGGGAAGTTTGAATATGAGAATGGATTGAGGAGTGTGGTGTTTAGCAATGAGTAATCTGTATCACAACTAGGCAGCTGAGAATTTGAATAAGGAAAAGAACTCAGGGCAGTTGTGTGGATGAAGAGTGACATGAGTGTTTTAAATGATTGATGGGTAAAGGTTGTGAGAGGTTGAGAAATTTAGTTGATTAATGCAGCCTGTGAATTTTAACAATAGGTATGTGAGATGGTGACTTTACCAACACTGTGAGATATTGAGCCTACACACCCAATTGATTTTTTTTTTTTTTGCATGAGAGGTTCACACTGGGGTAGTGAGGCAGAACTTGCTTTGGTGCTTAGTTGAAGAAGTGTAGCATTGGCTTGAGTTTAAGATAGGGCACATTTTTTGTGTGTGTTATATAACCATTTTCAAACCAAAAAGCCAACCATAAACCATCCTCCATTGAGAAATCCATTTTGAACCTTTAGCCTTTTTTTTTCACATACCCACATTTCACCCTACCCCACACATCAACCACACCTTTTAGTTATGATGGAAAGAAAAAAAGAAGCAAAGATGTTGTTGGCTGTTTTTATCAAGTGAAAGCAAGAGGCTGCTAAAAAAAAAAAAAAAGAAGAAGAAATAGCAGTAAAAAAAAATAAAAATGGCAGCCACTGTATTGATTGTTTAAGCTTCAGGATCATGTTAGTTTTCCATTGTAACTAAGTTAGCCGAATCCTCACTGTTTGTCCACCCTCACCTTAGCCAAGTTACAACCTATTCAAGTCCCTTTGATTGAGCTTAGATCTGTGTGTCACTTTAGAGACAAGAGCATCTTAGCAAGCCTATGTTACATCTTTTCCTAGTGTTGGATTGAGAGAAACATAATCCTTGAGCATTGAGTGAATATTTTTTGTAATTGAGTGAGGATTTGAAAAGTTGCCATCTCTGTTGCATTTTAAAAAAAATTCTGCATGCTGTGTTAGAAAGCAAATTTTCAAAGATCTCTTTTGTCATTATTCAACAGTTAGTGAAGCATCCATGCATTTGAATTTTGCACACTGCCTGCTGAGTAATTTTATGGAATAAAAGGATCACTAAGCTGCCTGGTTTGTGATTGACTGATTGCTGAAATAAATTCATTCCTCTGTTCCATGTTCTTTGTGAAAATGTGAAGCTCTGATTGGTTTGAGTATTTTTGAATGATGTGCTGAAATTTGTTTTCTGGTTGAGAAGAATGGTTAATTTGCTAAATCCATGTGCTGATTTTTTCTGTTACTTGAGGACAAGTAACAACTTAAGTTTGAGGGTGTGATAAGTCTCTTAATTGAGACTTAGATCATGTGATTTGTATTGCAAATGAAGAGAAATTAATTGATTTTGTGAATATTATACCCCAAATTGTTGTGAATTGTCTTTAGTTGTTTAAAAATGCTAATGGGCTGCACATGTTTTATTTTCAGGCCCAATTGCCAAGTAAAAGGAAGAATTGAAAGAAGAGAAGAAAATAAGAGAAAGAATGAGCTGGACCTGAAGTACTAAAACCCAAAAAGAAGACAAAAGGCAAGAAAGAAAATGCAAATAAGAACAGAGGGAGAGGAGAAATTGGGTTGGATCTTTGACTGAAGGCCCAAGTGAAAGAAAAGTAAGAGAAGAAGTTGATGGGATCAGAAGAAAGAGAAACAAAAGTGTGCAAGCAAAGGATCAGCAAACCCATAGCATTTTCTCTCTGACCGAACCCTAACCCTCATTCAACCCATCTCCATCGTTTTCACCCTTTCTACCCGATTGACACACTAAACCGCACAATTTCTCAAACCACAGAACCTTAGCCATTAAAGATTAGTGCTTTGAGTGAAACAACCAAACCCTAGACACTATTTTGAGTTAGAAAAAGGACAAAAGAAAACTGTTACTGAGTGGTGAGCTGGATACTTTTTAAGAGTGGAGGATGGAGCGATTTTTGGGCGCAAGTTTACGTACGAGTTGCAGGAGCAACAAGTCCATCCGGGTTGTCTGAGCAAAGGAGGGAGCTGCTGGGGACCACCTGCCTGCAACGCGCGAGAAGCGCGTGACACCTGCTGAGCTGGAGAGGAAAATCGTGCAAAGAAGGAAATGAGCCCTATAAAAAGGGAAATAGGAGTGAGTCATTCTCTGGCTTCTTCCTTCTCTGGTTCTGATTTACTGTTTTTAGTTTTATTGTTTTCTGAACAATTTTAATTTTATTTTCTTTTAAGTTCTGTTTTGTAATGAGATTCTGGTTCATCTGATGAACTTGATGCATGTCTTTACAGCACTGAGATTGCCGGTTGTTAGGCCAGTGCTGTAATTTAGTTTCTAGCATTTTTCTTTTGTAATTTCTTTAGTTTTCTGTTACTGTTTGTAAGCCTCATCTCTATGGATAGTGGCTAACTTTTTAGAGGTTGGGTTTAGGTGATACCCAGACTTCAGTGCTTGTTAAATGTTTGGTTTTCTGGTTTTAATTTTTCTATGTCAGTTGTTTAATGCTTTTTCTAATGTTCAAAATTATCTGCATTTTGGCCGAATGTCAGAGGTTTGGTTAGGATTTAGTTGTTGAGAAACAACTAACTCTGGATTCTGCATTAGACACATGGACTTAGATGAGAAATCATTTAAGGGATCTCATTTCAGAAATGAATGAGACCTCATGTAATATTGGACCTGAGTCTCAAGAGTCCTAATCCCACTTGGCATAGAGATATGGAAGTGGGCAACTTTGGGATAAAATAATTTTTAAGAGATTAAAATTAACAATACAGTTCTGTTAACTGAGAATCTTAGGATGAACTTTTTGTTAATCAAATTATTTTCAAGCACTGTGGGGAAGGAGAGCCAGAACTCAACCCACCTTTTTGAACATCTTTATCAACTCAGATTTCCAATTTCCTTTGTTATTTCATATTCAATCTCTGTTCTGTTTCCAATTTTAAATACAAAAAAAAAAAAAAAATTCTTGTCACATCTGTCATTTAAGTTGCTTCATTCTTACTTCTTATTTTATAACTTAGGAAAGTAATTCAGAAAATTTTAAAAGAAAAGTGAACAGTAGTGTTTTAGGTCCATTCTAGATTATTTTTACTTTACAATTTTTATTTCTTTTATTTTCAAATAGTAACTCAGTTTCAAGCAATTAGAAATTTTAGTCATTTCAAAACGCCAACGATCTTTGTGGGAACGATAACTGGGACTTATAACAGCCCTATATTACTTGTTGTCGCGTATACTTGCGCGCATTACTTGCACAACTGTTAGCAAGGCATCATATATCATGGAAGTTATCTCAGGGTTGGAGGAGTCTCCAAGGATACTGAGTTTACTGAGATTGTATCTCATCCCATGTGGGGATTATATTTCAGGTACACTGATTGGTGCGGACAATGTTGTCCTAGGCATGAGGCCGGTTTAAGTGTGTTGATGATGCTTTATTTGAGTTGATGCATATGATTACTATTTAGTATGTGTGATCGATCATTTGAGTAATTGGAAGATTGTATGTCTATTATGTTTTTGAAGGGCTTGTATAACAATTTGTAATCTCTCACATTATGGCATTTGGAAATAGATGGAATTGTGCACAATTATTATATTCTTGGAAAACATGTTGTAAACATTGATTATATTAATTTGGTGATATGTATGTTATGAGATATGTTGTAATATGTTGATGGCGTGAAGCCTAAGAGTTATCCATGTAGTTTTAGTCATTGTAATGATTTAAATGGCTTGATGCCCAAGTGCTTTTCATAAAGGAGTTGTATTTTTTGTATCAATTTAATTGGAAGGCTTACATGCCTATTTTGGTACCTTGGAATATCATGTATGTAATCCAATTGTGGAAGGACATGAGAATGTGACCTATAACATGGTATTTGATACTCAAGTAAGAAATGAATGCACATGATGCATGTCGAATTAAAGTGATTAAGTTTTTGTATTTTTTTTTCTAACCGTTGCACCTAATTTGCTATATGGTACAACGAATTTGTCCACATCAAACACGTGGCCCAATGACTCTCTTTTTTCTACCATTGCAGGTGTATTTTGTTATGCTCTATAGCAAATTAGTGGTTGTCACTGTCCTGCTTTTACTCAAAACAGACTGACATTTTGACCACCTAATTCGCTACTACCAATAGCGAATTAGGTGGCCCAAGAAACGCCACATTTGCAAAATAAATTCACTATGTGTTGTAGTGAATTTACACACGTGACACTTTAAGAAATTTTATTGTTCGTATGACATTTGGAGAATTAATTTTAAAATATGTGGTATTTGGGTTACTTGTTCTTAAAAAAAAACACATTTTTTTTTTTTTTGGAGAGAGAATTTTTTTGTTGTTGATAAAGATAGCCTTTTACGGCCAACAAAACAAGTGTTTTCTACGGATAAGCATCATTTGTAAAACGAAGAGATGCTTTGCTCCACTTTCTCACACCAACCTCAAATTCTCACGATTCAAAAGGATACACAAAACCTTCAAACAAATTTCAATACCCCATTTGAACTCAAACAAGCACACGCTCTTCTAATCAAGACTAATGCTTCTCTCTCCAACCTTCCTCTCACTCGCGTAGCACTCGTTTGTGCTCTCACACCCAGTTTCTCTTACGCCCACCAAATCCTTCACCGCTCAGAGATCCCAGAAATCGTTACATGGAACACTTGCCTTAAAATCTTCGCCGAAAGCGATTCTCCACAACATGCTATCTTCCTCTTCCGTCGTTTGCGCCAAATGGGTACCCTCCCTGATCATTTCACCTGCTCCTTCGTTCTCAAGGCATGTACCCATTCTTTGGACATTGTCAATGGCAGAATCGTTCATGGGTATGTGGAAAAACTTGGGTTTCAAAGTAACTTGATTTTGCAGAACATGGTTATCCACTTGTATGCTATGTGTGGGGAAATGGGTGATGCACGGCTTCTGTTTGATAAAATGACGCAACGAGATGTTGTTACATGGAATATAATGATAAGCCAGTTGATTAAGGTGGGTGATGTTGGTGGTGCTTATGAATTGTTTTCTTTGATGCCCCAAAGGAATGTGCGATCATGGACGTCAATGATTTCTGGGTTTGTTCAATGTGGTAAGTCAGAGGAAGCTGTTGATTTGTTCTTGGAGATGGAAAGGGAAGGTTTGAATCCAAATGTTGTGACAGTGGTGGCTGTTCTTGCTGCTTGTGCTGATTTGGGTGACTTGGAGTTTGGCAGAAATGTTCATTGGCTCGCGATTCAAAATGGGTTTCGTGGGAATGTTCATGTTTGTAACACTCTGATTGACATGTATGTCAAATGTGGATGCATGGAGGAGGGTTATAAAGTTTTTGATGCCATGCGAGAACGAAGTGTTGTGTCATGGTCCATCATGATTGCAGGGTTTGCAGTGCATGGTAAAGGAGAGAAGGCTTTGGAATTGTATGGTGAGATGATTAGGTCAGGTATAAAACCAAATCATGTGACTTTCACTGGGCTCCTACATGCTTGCAGTCACATGGGATTGGTTGACAAGGGTCGTGAGTTTTTCACTATCATGACTCAAGATTATGGGATAGAGCCTAAAATCGAGCATTATGGTTGTTTGATTGATCTGTTTAGTCGTGCAGGGCTCTTGAAAGAGGCTCATGAGGTTATTTTAAACATGCCCATGTCACCTAATGGAGTCATTTGGGGGGCTTTGCTTGGTGGATGCAGGCTTCATAAGAACACTGAATTGGCAGAGGAAGCTATGAGACATATTTCTAAATTGGATCCGCTCAATGATGGATACTATGTAGTTCTGTCAAATATCTATGCAGAAGCTGGAAAATGGGAAGAAGTGGCTAAAATCAGGATATTGATGAAAAATAGAGGGGTGAAGAAAACACCCGGATTCAGTAGAATCACAATAGATGGAGTGGTTCATGAGTTTGTAGCTGGGGATGAGACTCATCCTCAAGCTGAGCAGATATTTGAGATGTGGGCAAAACTACTAGTGAAGATGAAGGTACAAGGGTATATACCAAATACTTCACTTGTCCTACTTGATGTGGAGGATGAACAGAAGGTGAAGTTCCTTTTTCGCCACAGTGAAAAATTAGCTCTTGTATATGGTTTGATGAACACCAAACCTGGAATGCCAATTAGGATAATGAAGAATCTTCGTGTGTGTGAGGATTGTCATGTTGCTTTTAAACTACTATCAGCCATTGAAAATCGAGAAATTGTGCTACGTGATCGGAATAGGTTTCATTGTTTTAAAAATGGTATTTGTACTTGCAAGGATTATTGGTAGGCAACCAAAATAACATTGCATGTTAAGGGAAAAGTTGAACACTATCTTATTCATACAGATTGCTCATTATTCACATTAGTTAACTACATTTAGTTTAAGTTAGATTTTATTGTTTGCTACACAAATTAAACATTCATGATGTTAGTTAATTATTTAATTAACATTTAACTAACTATTAATTATATTAAGCATTTATACTTCTACCAACCGCTAGAGCAGTGATTATTGAAACGTATGAATTACTTCTCACAAAAATGACTACGAAAACTTTTAAAACAATCTTGATAGGGGTAAAGGAAAAACAAGCAAGATAAAGGGTAAAACTAATTTTGATGGCCAAATATGGGATGTCATGTCATGCCATACCAAATCATAATAGAGCATCATTCCAATAAGGATTGCCTTCCATACTAATTTATAAGATTAGTCTTATTTGAACGACCAAAATAGTTCTGGAATGGTGAACTTCCCGGTATTTAAATTAAAGAAAACAGCTCCCAAGGTTTGCTTGAGTCACGGGTTCAAACCCTGCCTCAAGCAAATTCTTGAAAAATCTTCAGGGATTATAGGATGTGTCTCTCTCTTCGAATAGAGGATTAGTTTCATCCTTCTTCCGGTAACGAAGTTCAATGTACTCATTATTCCAATGAGGGGATAGCCTACAGGGCCGTACTCCGAGGACAAGATAACTGGAGGAGGTTGAATGAGGATACCTCCACGTCATACAAAAAAAAATTTAAAGAAAACAATAAAGAATGATAAAGTAGTGAAATTAAATTTAAAGCATAGTAGTAAGCAATAAGAGAAGAAGTGAGTTAGTATTTCAACTTTCCCCAATATTTTATTATTATTGATCAAACGTGGATAAGACACCCTTTGTTGATCCTCACTCGACTTGATGTAAATAATACCCTTCTTGTTGCCAACCGAATTAAGGGACATAGTTATAACATGATCTCTCGGTGGAACAATCCTTTAAACCAACAAGTATCTCGTGAGTAGAGATTACATTGGATTCAAGTCTTACATAAGTGGTGAATTGTGTTGTAAAACTTTTTACAAAATCCCTTCCAAAACTTGATTCCAATAGCTTAGGTTATGTTCAATTCCTACGTGCAATGCAATATTATGATGTAATCACACAAGAAATTCAAATAAAATAACTACAATATTGTTGCACAAATGGCTTCCTAGGGTTATATGCCAAATATAATACTGCAGAAACATGCAACAAAATGACAATTTTTAAGAATACCTTTGCACAACCTTATCACACCAAAAGTGGACCAAATTCAATCAACTTGATGTTAAATCTATACCAATTTTCAGTACAACTCAAGGAAACTATTAGGTATGAATAATTACACAAATCTAGAGTGACAATTTTCAACATTATCCTCTGACACGACATGAACATGATACAAAAAATTCGTATTCGGGTAGATTCATTTTCAAATTCGCATCGTGTTCGTGTTGGCAAAAACTGAACCGAAAAATTCCTTGTCGTGTTGCGCGTCAACCTATGAATCCAAAATTAACCCATGTTAATCTCCTCACAAGTTATTCATATCGTGTCATAAATAGGTTATTTGTATCTTATCGTATCATGTCGACTCATATAATAAGTAATGCAGTTTGACATGACAGATTATTCGTGTCATGTCATGTCAACCCGCATAATAAATGACATACTATGAGATTGCGAGTTATTCATATTGTGTCGTGTCAACATACAAAATTAGCAAGTTGTGTTCATATTGAAGGTTTTAACCCGATTTCAATATCATGTCATTTTCGTGTTGAATGTATTCGTCATGGTGTTGTGTCAACCCAAATTGTCATCCCTAATAAAACCTTGATTATAAAGAGACTTCACAACATTATTCCTCTTTTGTTATATGTTCGCAGATGCTACACAAAGCCTTTTCACAATAATTTTGTAACTTTTAACCACAAAACTTAGACAAGGTTCAATTTAATCAAAATCTATACAAATGTACTTGTTAAATCAATTTTATATGATTAAAATTTCAAGAACTAATACGACCTTAATTTTAGGAAGAAGGCCGAACCACAATACAAGCAAGATTCCCACCATTAAGATGTTAATTTAATATACGTAATGCTAGAAATCAATCCATAATAGGTTAACAGTTTTTAGGTCAATTTTATACCAAATTAAAAAAGATACCCAACATACTATAGCACCAAAAATGCCTCAATAAATAATCATAAAACAAAGGTTACAATGTCAAGTAGTCAAATCTAGATAGGTTTCAATTCAATGAAGAAAGCTATAGCAAATTACTTGCACAATCCAAACCTATGTATCAAGAACAATTCAAATGACGTTCAAACTATATCCAACAATCAAGATCACTTCAAAATCCAATGTGGACCAAGATAAACACCAAGTAAACATCACAAATAAAGTTATAGTCGATAGCCTCAAATAGCTCTATACACACTCTAACTTCATGATATATATATATATATATATATATAAGATTTGGTGTCAAAAAATTATAACTACATATTACAGGTAGTACATAATATATTTCAGAAATTAACTATGTATTACGGGTAGTACATGATTCTTTTCTCTCTTCAGAAATCATGTATTACCCGTAGTACATAGTGTAACTGCATCAATCCTTAGGTGCAGTCACTGTTCATCCGACAAACCCATATATATATATGTGTGTGTGTGTGTGTCGGGGGGGGGGGGGGGGTAGGATCCTTTGACACCGATGTCAAACTTTGAAATTTGACACCAAATCCTAACCGTTGATTTCCGCCAATCAACGGTTATCGTTTATATTAATCCTAACCATTATTATTGTAAACGGATCATTCCTTATATATATATATATATATATATATGTGTGTGTGGCAGGATATTCTTATATTTGTGTAAAAGTTAGAGATCTTATACTCAGTCTTGATCCACTTGTATAAGCAATAGAATTCCTAGCATAACGTACAACAATAACCAAACCCTGATCATATGCCAAGATGAATCATGTTTACGTGAGCGAGGGAGAATCTGCCATCGACTTTGCCCACCATATCCGTCGTTGCTGCTCAGCATGTCACCCCTCTCCAATGAGTGGTCGTATTATTGATTCCACGAATAAACAACATTGAGCAATGCTTGACTAAACGTCAAGGTCTAAAGCAGCAATCTACAATAACCGAAAGTCAATACCTTCAACTTTTGACTACATTGTCTAGAGAATTCATCTTCCTCTTATGGTTCACCAATGTAGACTCGTTTACTGTGAGATATTTTGGCCAATCCCGTTAAAGTTCTTGTTGGTACCTTATTCATAGTTTCAGACAATCTTAAATACTCAAATGTTCAAGGTCAATGAAACCATGCATGCCATCAGAGAGTGAAAGCAACTTTGGACAATTGTAAATCAAAAGTGTTTTGAGACAAATCAGAGTTGACAGTCACTTAGGAAGTTCCTTCATATTATCACGGTCCTAAATCGTCAAGGAATGTAATGTGTTCGCAGATCTTTGCAGCCATTGAGGCAAAGCCACCAGTTATGGCAAATTATAAAGATATACAAGCTTTAACCTTAACTCAAGGATTTGGCTGTGAAGAAGGACCTTTAACATTTCCAACTTACTACACCCTGATAATAACCAAACTTTCTAGATTTGGAGAAGTATAAAATGGAAAACACTTAAAACTCCCACAAGAATTAATAGACAACCATTTAATATTAGGATACTTCATTCCTTCGATCAATGACTCCAAATTATCACAATAAATTAAATTTAATATTTCTAAAGAAGTCAATTTTGCAATGTCTTTGTCCAGAAAATCAGATTGTTTTGTGCTTATACTCAAAAGTTGAAGGCTAACCATGTTTCCTATTCCTTTTGGCAATGTTTATAACTTAGTGCATCCATTGAGGTACAAAGCTTGCAGATTTTGGAGCTCACACATGAATTAGGGAGTCTCATATGTTTTTCATTTGAGGTAAGAGAGAAAATCTTAAATGTTTCCACTTACCAATGGAGTTGGGCAAACTCTTTTATTTGGAATTAGTTAAATCCAATAACCTGAAGTATTTGCACATTTACACCAATGTATTCAAGAAATCTTCATTGTTGGCTCCCTCAAGAAAAAGTATGGTTCTTAGACCTTTTGGAAAGGAAGTTTGACCTAGCAAATCATTTTTTACGAATGCCAAATGATAGGAATTCTCGGATATATTCTAACTACAAGAATTTATGAGTTGAAACTAATCCTTTGCAACATACATTGCTAGAGCATGCACCAAATCTTGTAATTTGAAGTTGCAAGTAGTACCATGGTCAGTAAAATCTTGAAGAAAAGATCTTGATTGTAGCTCACACAAAAAATCATTGCCAACATCTTCCAACATGTTAGTGATGAAAGAAAACCAAGCGCCAGCCAAAGCTCAATAACAACAAAATGATTGAAATCAAAGTCCTTCTAGAAAAGGGAGAAGCAAGCAAAACACTGTTTTATTTATGAAGGTAGTTGATCATAACTTAATTTTATAGTAGGCAAAATGTCACTTTCTTTCTGTGGTAAATTCCAAATCTCATTGTGACACCCACTTCATTATTGATTTTTAAAAATAATGAATACCCAAATGTTCTCAATGCCAATCGAAGCCCTTCGTATTTTTTCAAATTTTCTTTTCCAATCTACAACAATTCAGGATATATTCTCTCTTCTCCTTCTTTGAAAGCCCATTCGGCAAATAGGGATTATGAATCATCATGAGAAATACCCTCTAAATTATAAGATGAATTAGTGCCCATCATGGTAGCAATTGAGTGGCTACGTATAGTGGCGTTCATTGTACGACTGATATCTCAATGTCCGTGAAAGGAAACCTGAACCCCAAATTCAAGAAAAAGGGCATACATGCTCATTCTTGTAAATATAGAAAAAGTGGCGCTCATTCTACGACCGACCTGTGTATACATGCTCAGAGGAAGAAGGGACATACCCATCTACGTTGGCACTATTACTAATGGGGAGTGCGGTCATCAAGAGTGATACATGA